TGATAGGGGCTTTTTCCCTTTTTTTTCAGGAAAGCTTTCCACAACTTCAATTACTTTCTGTTCTTCTACAATGTGCTCCTGGGCCTGGGGGCTTGTTTGTTCCGCCTCCTTTGTAGTTTCATCCTGGGCACCTGGCTGATTGCACGGATAGACAGGACAATCATGCAGAAAGGGTATGAAGCTGCTGACATAGGTGAGTGTCCAAGGCACAGAGCATTGCAGGGTCTGACTGGGCTGAGGTTTGCACAGGCAGCATGAGCGCTCTTCAAAGGAAACCTCTGATTTAACCACAGAGGATGTAACTAATTCTGCTTGTGTTAACAGCAGCTGTTTGGATCCAGTATCTTCCAAGCTAAAAGCACAAGCTTCTAGTATCTGAAAGAGACAGGATCTGGGTGTCTAAACACCTTTAAAAATCAGGGCCTAGCTCATGGATGTAGCGTACTCCTAAACTCTTCCAGGGACCAGAGGGATGAAAATGGCCTCCATCTTTCCTAGTGTGTGTTACTATAGCAGCTGCTAAGAGCTGCTCACGAATGCTAGAGTGGCATGCTGTGCAGTAGATATCTCAATGATGAGCACCACAGAAACAGTATTTGTTTCTCACTCAGAGCCTCTGTTCAATGCTGCCTTTCCACTTCTCCCCTAGGATTTTTCCCTTATCTTCTTTAAGAGGAGGACCATCTCAAAAGCATAAGTCTTGCAGCATTCATGTTAAGTGCACTGCCCCTGTGCAGTCAGTTGTGGTTATTTATTGTTATATACATACAGCATGGCTGTTTTTGGCCCACTGACATTTTCAAGAAGTGGAAGCTTCCAAGAATAAAGGCCCTACCCGGGAGTTTACTTTTCAAATCAATATTTGGATTGGATTTGTAAGTTTGTAGCAGAACTGGACAACACGATGATCACCTACATAACAGGATCTAGCCCTGCTCCTTGCTTATGAATCACGTGAGAACAGCTCACTATTGCTCCTAATTTATTCATGATCCCCAAAGGCCCGCCAAGTGCTGGTTACAAATGCACATGAAGGGAGACCTGTTTGTCCACAAATACTGTAGCAATTAGTCAGTCTCCCTGCTGGTGTTCCCAGTTCTGTTTGCCCTGGCGAAAAGCTCCTGAGTCACATGGGAAGCCATCTGTTTCTCAGCTGCATCCTTACACTGACCGAGCCCTACAGCTTTTGCCTGACACACATATGGTGTCTGTCCTCAAACATGTTCCATTTCTGAGTAAAGGAATCTTAAGTCTTCCAAAAGTCCCTACACTCAGTGTGGCTTGCATGGTCATCCAACCTGCCAAAGGCACCTGGTACCAGTGGCTGCCTGTACACACACTCCTTTGCATTCTAATAAGCACATATTGGAGCAGACTTGATTAATCGAGTCTGCTTTGTGGTCTAATTAGAGTGCTCCAGTATTGCTACAGCATCACGTGTGTTAAGCCTCCATGGATTTTAAAATGGTTGTGGGATGCTTTATCTAAACCTCATCAAATGAGGTCTAGATAAAGTGTCCTGCAGCCATTTTTAAATGTGCACAGGCTTAATACATGTGACGCTGTGACATTTTAATTAGAGCGGCTGCCTGAGAACTGCTTTAATTAAAACACCCCCCTCCCTACAACCAAGAACATGTATAGGTAGCCAACATGTCTAGTACCCCTTACCTCTGTCCTCTTGTACCCCTTTCCTACCTTGCCTTGGAAAGGGTGGGGTTAAACAAGCAGATCACTTGCGTAGACTCAGAGTCTAAACTTGTATTCCTTGCACCCAAACCTTGCTGTCATGAATGGCCATGGTAAGGGCACAAGAAGTGTGGTATTGCAGCATGGAGGGTAGGAGGTTATGTTGTTAGGTTGCACATGTCTCCAAGGGGATTTGTCACTTGTTTTGCTGCAGGGTTCAAGACATGGATTGGCATGATATTTATGGACCACCACCATACCAACCCCACCCTCCTTAGCTTCTGTCACATTCTCCTGACCAGGAACACTGAGAAGAAATTACGCAGATCAACCAAATACAGTTACTTCAAAAATGCATCAGGTAAATACTTAGATTGAAGTATTCACAGGCTGTTAGTAACATGTAGGCCAATTGAGTTATTTTAATTCCTGAAACAACTGCTCTTTGGGAACCCTTGATTTCTGCTATGAATCCTGTCTTGTTTGCTGTCCATAGTGGGGATTGGTTACAAGGCCTGAGCATTGATAGACCCTGTCACATTAATCTCACTGCAGTCAGTACAAATGCTGTTTTTAGTCATATGCAGTAAGCAGGCATTTCAGCTCAAGGGGACATGGACCCAACTGAGTTGATGTCCAAGCTACTTCTCCAGCCTGTCTGCAAGATTAGTTTTGTCCACTACCTTTAGAAGATGGTCTGAAATCTTGTGTGCATGATTCTGCACCAATATTCAAATGGCAGCATTTACCCGTCCAGCTAATTGGTGCCTGCCAGTGCTACCAGAACTGTTAGCTATTATTAGCTCCAGCAATTGCATGTGATCTTGAAGCTGTAGGTGCATAGCTGGAGGACGGACAGAAGCTGCATAACCATTTATTGAATCTTCCTGTGCTCTTTGCCTTTTCCATACAAGCAGTTTGAAAGTGGAGCTGTTGGTTTCCAAGGCAGAGTGGGAGTCATCCTGCTCTTCAAGTGATGCTGACAATGTTCTGGAGCAGTCTGCATATGCTGGGTTGTCAAAAGGATGAGTGGCAGTGCTGTTGCTCCCAGGCATGGCAGGCTATGAAGTGATCTGATGCTTTGCCTTGTTCCTTGTTTCACTCTTTTGGTGCCCAGAGGCAAGGAGCAGTTATGGAAATGCATTAAGAAAGTCCTACGATTAAATGTTGTCCCCCCTTCTTCTCCCTGCCTGGGGTGAAGAAGACTTATCAGTAGCATGCTAGTCCATAGCAAGAGCATAGAAAAGCATGCTAACATGCATGGTAGGCTATCAGGAAAGCTCTGCTTCCATTCCAAAGCCTTGTTCCTCAGATTCCCCTTGTGGACTAGACAGGCAATAGTACCAGCTTTGCATTTGGCCTCCACATGAGCACAAACATAAGCACGCTTGTATTCAGAGCCTGGGTTCAGTTCTGGAGCATGCCGGTGGCATCTCTGACAACACACCAAATTCTGCACAGCAGTTGAAACGGAACAGGGTCTCTTGGCCAGAAAGCCACAACCCAGGCTGACATAGAGCGTGGTGGAAGAGGTGAAGGTCTAGGATCTAGAAAGGTACGGAGGGTGGGAACGGCCTAAACGTAGAGGGACAGGATAGATCCTGGCCTGTGTGTATTCACGAAGATACCCATGGAGATGTGGGGCTCCTAAACAAAGAAACGGGTCTCTTGGCCCAGTCTAGGCAGAGGGGGAGCCTGTCATGACAGATATTAGAGGAAGACTGATTCCTGGCCCACCATTTTGTCCCATGTGCTGCATAACCATGTGAAGGCTTTGGGTTTTCATAAAATGGCGTTTTCATAAAACCCAGTTATCCTCCCATCTGATGACACAGTCACACGCTCAGCCTGGAAGAGGTTGGGCTGAATTCTCTTCCTTCTTACATCAGGTGGCCTGCTAGAGTCAGTGGCATTACACCAGTGTAAATGGGAAGAGAAGAATTTGGCCCAAATCCCCTCCCTCATAGCAGTTAGGGTCACCCTTAGCATGTGTACAGACAAGCATCTCGGCTCCCTCCAGCGAAGCTACACTGAGTCATACCAGCCAGAATCGGACCACTTATCTGTAATCTAGGAAGGAAAATCCAATAGAGTTCGGTGCTATAAAGCCCATTTGTTGTGTTCTCTGCTTGTTCTGCTCCAGAATCCAAAGTGTCGAACACAACGAAGACAAGGTGGCTGCTGCTCTACACTCTCCTGAACAACTCTCAGCTCGCTGCCCTCAGGAAGCATAAACTGCAGTCCGGCTCCAGGAACGCTTTGCAGAATTGCCGAACCTAACTTGTTGCGCATGTAGAGTGTGGGAGACCAGGGGACTCTTGCACCAAAGGTGGCTGCCTTTGGGTCTGGGAAAAGTCAGCTCTCTGTTAGGACTTGATTTTCTCAACGGCTGTCTTGAACACACAGATCACGTGCTAGTCTTTTCTCATTTTGTCCACTACCCCAGGTCAGACAGGCATGATGGAACTGACCTTCTCCCCTGAATACCTGGTAACCAATGCAAGTTTGGTTTTACACTGGTTTTCCTTTCCCAGTTACTACGGCTGCTGGTATTAACTCCTGCAGCAGTTCATAAACATTTGAGGAAACTCAGCACATGGGCACTAAGTTCTGAAGTTACATTTCAGTTATTAGTTGACAACAAAAGTCACTCTCTGGTGCCTTCTAATGCCTAATAGCTGTTATGTCCAGATGCAAAACAGAACCGTGTTGTTTGTACAGTCTGAGTCTAACACATGGGAATGCTGACAGAAAGAGAAGGGCCCGCTTATTCACTGCAGTCCTACATAAAGAGGACAGGGGTTGTGACTTGGTTTGGGTTCACAAGAACCCGCAAAAGCTCATAGGCTCTTCTTTCCCTAATAAGGCACATGGATTGCCAGCAAGAGCGAGATCTCTCACACCCATGGGTGCTATGTGCTGTACAGCTGTCTTGTACAGAGGAAGGTAGGAAGACTCCTGTTTCAGCCAAGGTGTTTTCATCCATCCACCCAATGAACTGCTCCTTTTTATGGCACTGGACCAATCTTTTTCTGTGTTTAGCTTCTGAACTGGCCAGAGATATAAGCTTGCTTGCCCTTGTGCACTGCCAAAAGGAGCAGGCAGAAGGGTGGAGTATCCAGAGGGTGGTTGGAAACACAATAGCAAGATATTACATGCATCTGGTGTTTGGCCTGTGCTGCTGCTGAGCAAGGGGAATAAATACAAAGGCTAGGGGTGTTCCAGATGAGCAAGTTGGACTGCTTACACTCAGTATGAGAGCTGCAGGAGGGATAGGCCTCCTGAGTCTTGGTAGGCTGCTGACAGCACAGTGGGGAAAAGGGAGACTCAAACTGAAGGGAACAGGAAAACACATCTCAGCCCTCACAGTGAGCTTATGACCTCTGTTCAAGAGAGAAGGACATGTCCTATCTAATTAATGTTTTCATCATCTCCATGATGACCCAAGAGGTCCCTTCCAGTCCTATTTTCAGTCTTGGGCCTTCTCTAGCCCCTGCTAGTTTGACACAATCATCTGGGACTGCACTTTGCTGGGAGGCCACAAATGCAAGAGGTTGCAGGTGTGGAAAGGCTGAACATCTTGTTTCAATTCAGGCTCTTTCACCTATGCTCTTGCATTTTCTCCATCCTGCTAGGCAGTAACAAGCAGTGTGTAACAAGACTCCTAACTAGCTGGTCAGTGCTGCCTATAACTACTATTGTAGATAAAAGAGCTGCCCTGTCTCCTCCAACATGGCAGAGGCAGGCATGAAAACCATTTGTGAGCTGCTTTTTCTGTCTAACACTCATCTGTAGAGAGTAATTACAATGAAGAGCCCACTCTGTATACCTTTGAAAAGCAGGGATGTAACTGAAATGAACTCTAGCATTGAAGTTAAGTCAAGCTTGTGTGGTGGGAGAAACCTCCCTAAGGTTCGTTGTCTAGCTGTAATTTGATTGACAGACAACGCGGGTAAAGAAAGACAGCTGTTTATTTGCTCGAGCAAAGACCATAAAGCCAGCAAAAGGCAAAATGGCCCCCCCCCAAGGGCGAGGTGATCTTTTATACTTATTACAACAAGGCAAGACTTCATGGTTAACAAAAACCAATACTTGGGCGGTGCTTTTCAAATCTTTGTAACAGCATATTTCTATTAAGCTGAACTAGCACTTTTTTAAAAGCTAAAAGTTAAGTAACAGTAACATTATAATATGTTAGCAAAACCTTACACAGTAGTATATACTTCTCAAGGACACCACCAGTGCACCCAGAACAATGGTTTCCCTGTCTTATCTTACTTCTTGCTGTAGCTGATTTTTCAGCGCACAGACACAGAGATACTTGCTGCTTTTAACTCAGAAAATGCTTAATACAGTTAAAATGATTACTTGACACAAGCAAAGGCTTAGCTATCAATCTGCCTTGTGGTCAGCTGCATTGCTAGGCCACAGGTCATGCCTTGTATTCAGCTGTAAAGCTAATACTTCTTAATAATCTAAATTATTGTTAACCTAACAGTATGCTATCAGAAAACTATTCTATTTCAGGGTAATAACAAACCTGCACACTACACTTGCATAGAACATGGGTTCTGCTTGTGGAACAAGGAGTGTAAAACCTGCACTCAGACAGGAATATTAGAGGAATATCAGACCAGATTTCAGCATCAAAAAGAACAACTACAAAAGTATCTACATAGCATGCAAGAAGTAGGCTTCTTTTTTCCCTAAACCAATTAGGAAAAAAATAGCTGTGTTAGGGGAAAGGGCTATATCAGGGCATGCAAAAACTGCACAAAACTTAGCGGTGAAAGAAGTTAAGGGATACCTATCACATCCTTCTATTTTATCACTTTCACATTGTCTGCAATGCTACTACAAGTGTTGCACAAACGGCTAGTTTCGTGCCCCTGGAGGCTTTTCCAATACACCTCAAGGAGAGAGTCACACTCAGGTTGGATCCATCTCAGTTTATTGTTTGCAAACAAGTTCAACAAGGGAGTTCAATACTCAAAGCCATGTCGACCCCTAGCCACGCCCGAAGTTACATTTTTATACCCCTCATGAACAAGATTTCATTGTGGCAATCTGTGATTGGCTACAGTTTTCTGCAAAGTTTTTAGTACACCCGTAGTTCTAAAACGGGCAAGTAACAAGGGTTGCAAAGTTTATGTGCAAAGCAAGCAGTAACTAATCTGTGTTCCCACAGGAATCAGCCTTATCGTGAACCAAGCATTGTTCGGACTGTTCTCTCCCCCTAACAGGACCCCCCCCCTCCCCTTCTGGCCCCGCAGTGGTGGGGGAGAGAGGAGAAGACTGTTCTCAGCTGTGAATCCTTTTGTGTAGTGAGATTACAGTTCTCAGCTGTGAAGTCCTTTGTGTAGTGAGATTATGAGACATTTTTACTACACAAGTGCTCCATAAAACTTTCACTTCCCACTCTGACAAATATGCCCAAATCCGTATGTTTCTCACCTTCCTCAAACTTGTGCTGGAATGCAAGACCTTAGTGGCCTCACAGTGCTCTTGTATTGATGGATTACCAGATCTCTTGCTCAGCCCATGCACTTGAGAACTTCACCTGCCCTTGCAAGGCACTGCCCCTTACCACACTGCTGCTAAAGGTTCATGGTTGGCAGGTGGTACCCTGGGTATATATCAGTTCACTTGAGTTTTAAAAAGTGACAAATAGCCGTATCACTCCCTGCACATTCCTGATATTGGAATTGGGAGGTGAGGAGCACAGCACAGAGTTCAGTACTTTCCTCGAGCAACTGAAGTGGCCCAATGAAACGGAGACGTTCCAATAACTATTTGAACGAGCGCTGGTTCGAAAACGCCTCACAATCTCTCTGCAGCTACCCGTTTTTCCAGAGCTCCCTGACAAATCCACTACTCTTCAGAGCTTGCGTTCTCTTGGTTTGGTTTGTCCCATTTCCCAGTTCTACAAAAAAAAGGTTTGAAATCTTCTTAACCTAAATCAAGGGCTTCTATCTTATCTGTTGTGATAAGCACGATGCCAAGAGCTACTCCCTCTCAGCTCCTGATTCTGTCCATTATGAGATTGGAGCCAGCTTCCATGGATATATGCACCTCTTCTTTGTAGCTTCCTTCTGCTTTTCCTTTGCAGAAAGCAGCTGCCTTCCTGAACAGGGCATGGCATCAAGTTGCCTGTGGTGTCTTGATACAGCTCCACAGGGTTGAGTTCAAGCAAGGCCTTGGATTCATGGCAATGGTACCATCTTGGCCCAGTTGCAGATGGACATCTAGTTATTCGGGGTGGGTACTGTGGAAGAAACAAGCTTCACTTTGTTGTTTGGTTTTGAAGTTGTCAGAGACCCTTTATTATACAAGCAGCTGCAAGGTGGGGGAGGGGGACACTGAGCCCCCACCCTCAGGCAGTTAAAGCAAGCTTTTTATATGTTTCAATTCAGGTCACATGATGCAAGATATAACAAGTCAAACAGAAAACAGGTTTGAACCAGAAAGCTGCAAAGACAGGAAACTGCAAGGGCAGGAAAAACTGTGGTTTGACCTATTGACCTCATAGGCCTCCTCAGCATTATGGAAAATTCCACAATGCACTTCTTAAACAGAAATTAAGGCCTGGGTTTTTCTTCTTCCGCAGTACTAGCCACTTTATCCCTTTGTGAGCCATTGGTTGCAAAAAAAAAAATCAGGATGCCTTAACTACAGTAGCCTGAGCTTAGATGGCTGTTTGACTTTAACTTCCCCTCCTGTGGTGCTTACCAGTTTCTCTCACCAAGTCCGGCATATTTTACTTTTTTGACAAACTTGCCTTAGTGGTGGATCATCTGAAGAACAGGGGAAGTTTGATCTCACTCTGGTTAATTATTCTGACCCAATTCAAGATCAAACCACCTGCACACCAGCTCACTTCCTAGGAAATACCAAAGGATAGCTATCAAGGTGTAATGAGCACTTCAAATAGAAAAATCTTTGCCTCAAAATGCTGATTACGTAGTTGCATGCACCCACATGACTCAACAGGATCAGGAAAACTTAATTAGATGCAGTTATTCACAAATTCTACCAAGGGCACACACCTTTCATGGATAAATGATAAAGCCCTTGCTTGCAATTTATCTGCTACACTATAGAAGTACCAAAAATCCTCAGAAAGAAATGGACCTGCTGTCTTATTTAGCCTACAGTCACAGGCCATAGCCAAGGATGCCGTGTGATGTGTTTCATTCATGACCAAAGAAGCACTTGAAAACGGCAAAGTGCATAAAAGTAAGTCATTCTGAAGCACTCCCTATGTACACTCCAGTGATCCTCTTCTAGTTGGGGTGGGGGTTGGAACAGAAATAGGGCAGGCAGCCAAGGAGTGCCCTCTCTACTCTCAGCTGTCCTCAGGCAGCTCCAGGTACTGCATGAAGGCCAAAAACTACACAGGGATTCCTGCTTTCTAGTGGCCCTTTTGAAGTGGTCCAGGCA